AGTATGTTTTTGGTTGTTTACTGAGGCGGCCCAACGGCAAGTCCAAGGCGAAGGGTGTGAAAACAGGGCACACCTATGAGATGGATCAGGCGAAGGGAAAAGCTCTTCTACAGTAACCCTCATTAAGTTTAAACTTTGCTAAGGAAACCAGGCCGAGCTATGTGCACAGGGGATTTTAGGACTGTATTTTACCGCTCAGAAATCCCCGCCAGATAAATGAGCTGACAGTTAACCCAGTGAGATTTAGTCTGCTCAAACTGTAAGGTACAGAAACCCAGATAAAATCCAAGCCAAAAGTTTGTGGCCTCGGTGTATGCCCGTAAAGACCACCAGTCCGCGGGGCTGTCTGTTGACTTACAGTGACCTCCAGTAGTTTAACCTGACGTGACTGACTAGCAAACGCACAGGGTCGAATGTAAACTGCACACGCACAAAATGTGTGAATTCCAAAGTACTTTACTTAGACCAGCTTTTGTATGGGCAGTTAACAGCAAAAAGCAGAATTCAAATTGGTGGGACGTTTACAAATCACTAGTTAGCCACCTCGTCACGGTCACCGCGACGTGGGCACTGCTAGGCTGCACAACAACCAGCAGTCCTCTCTGCTGTCGCCAACTCGCACTGACAAATTTTTCCATCGACACGCGAGCCCCATCGGTCCCATCATCATCATTATCATCATCATTTATACAGTCCGAATGCGATGAATAATGTCCTCTCTTTAATTGGAAGTGGTAGATGTTTGGGCGTGAAATGCGCTAGAGGAAAACTTCATGTTGTACCAGTTACTGCGGTTAGTTTCATCTCCGGTCGATCGGACTTAAACTTGCAATTGTTGTGCAAGACACGGGAAGGAGGAGAATACAGTCGCTCCAACTGAGGTTTAGCGCTTTGCTCTCCCCCTAAACAACCTAATGTACGAATGCTCGTTACTGGCTTGCGGAATGAGTGAGGCTGTGGTGGCTCTTTTTCAGTTTTGTCTTTATGATACCCATAGTCATGTGGGATCGGAGACCCCCTCTGCATTTAGACCTTGGTTGTTGTGGAATTGGAAGGTGGGCACGTCTGCCCTACGCGTAGACGAAGCTCCGGTTGCTTTTTTGTAAAGGATGAAGTTGATGCGGCACAGATACGCCCCCCAGCCCTCATAAAAAATACACAGATGAGTCCCTACTGCACCCTGCCAGCACGCCTGTGGTTCTTGCCTCTTGCGACAGACAAGCATAGTATCTGCCTATACTACCAGTGGCTACAGCTGCCAAAGCCTCTGTCGACTTCCAAGGCAGAGCGGGACAGATGAGTTCCGTTCGCGGTCAGGTGAATGTTCATCAACGAGTGTCAATAGCCCCTGACCTAAACCGGTGCGACAACGAGCTCGTGGCTCAATGGTTAGGGCCTTTGACTCTGATCTGAAGTTCTCGAGTTCGAGGCTCGTGTGGGGCACCACTTGAGTCTGAATATGACTGGCTGACGATGGCTAATAAGCCAGTAATTGCCATCCCAGTCTTAAGTGATCATCATCATCATCATCATCATCATCATCATCATCATCATCATCA